GTCCCCTTGACTCACTAGAAGCGACTCGCAGGGCTCAGCTGGGTTGGCAGCGGGACGTGGCCTCACCCATCGCTCACCCACATCTGCGGCGTTACTCATCAGGGACGTGCAACCGGCGCCAGGTGGCATGTAGGTCCCCAGGGACCTCCGGACCAGTGATGTCCTCCAGGGGCTGTGTCCCTCACCCCGGAGCCACGAGGGCCCCTCCTTGGAGGTGGCATCCTGGGCTGGGAGCACACAGGCGTGCTCCCTTTGCACAAGCCAACCCGCGTCCTCGCACACGCGTGCACACGTGCACGGGGGAGTGTGCGCACACGCGCACGTGTAACGTGATGTCTACCTGGCTTCTAGTGCGCTCGTGTGCGCGATGAGGGCGGCTGGATAGACGGGCAGAGGAGATGGAGGGACAGCTAGATGGGCGGGTAGATAGATGGACAGATGGAGGGATGGACAGAGGGATGGAGAGAGAGATGGAGGGATGGATGAAGGAATAGATCAATAGATGGAGGGATGGACGGATAGATAGGAGGACAGATGGACAGACAGCTATCCAGCTCACTGGAAAGACAGTCAGACAGAGAGACGGCTATACAGACGGATGGACAGATGGACAGAGATGGGCAGAGATAGGCAGATAGACGTAGAGATGAAGGGACGGAGGTGTGAGTGGATGGACTGGCCGATTGCAGACGGACGGACGGATGGGCTGATGGACAAACAGAGGGACAGATGGACAGTGAAACGTCTGGCTGGACAGATGGGACAGAGAGGTGGACAAAGAGGCTGTTGGAAAGACAGACTTGCAGTCAGAAGGACAGGCGGATGGATGGACGGACGGACGGACGGACGGACGGGCAAATGGCCAGACAGATGGACAGGCACACTTACAGTTGGATGGAGAGAAAGATAGATGGGTGGATGGGGGACAGACAGCTGGACAGATGGACAGACTTACAGTCGGCTGCCCAGACGGATGACCAGACTAGACAGACAGATGGACGGCCAGACTTACAGTCAGGTGGACAGGTGGACATGGAGATAGATGGATGGACAGGCAGGTGGGAGGACAGATGGATGGACAGATATCCAGACAGACTTACAGTTGCTTGGACAGACAGACAGATGGCTGGGCATACAGATGGACAGATGGATGGACAGACAAGTAGACAGCTGGATCAGCAGACAGACAGACAGACAGACGGATGGATAGATGGATGGGCAGATGGATGGATGAACAGAGGGATGGACAGATGGGTAGACAACTAGATCAACAGACAGACAGATGGATGGATGGGCAGGCGAGTGGACAGCTGGCCAGGCAGACTCACAGCCAGACGGACGGGAGGACGGCCAGCCAGGCAGCCAGCCAGCCAGCCAGACGGCTGGACAGACAGGCGGCTGGACAGACAGGCGGCTAGGCAGCCGGCAGGACGGGCAGAGGACAGGCAGGAGGCAGCACCATTACATTTCACAACACCCAGGGGCCGGGTCGGCACCCCGGCACCCCAACACCCCCATCCTGCCCTC